CCGAATGGTTTCGACTTAATGCTATTTACTCTGACACATTCCTACAATCAACACATATTAACGGATGGCTTGGAACAAATGGCTATCGATCTCATAAGTTTGTAGGTACGTCGACAGCTTGTTTGATCAGAATCCGATTATATGCTTTCTCCAGGTACACAAAGTACATGCAAACTCTAACGATTTTTCAACAGTCTGGCTGGAGGCGAAGATCTGCTATGAGTTGCTTCACCTGTCCTGATGCCATACTGCATTTCTTGTATCTGTTATTCAGTGGCACCACCTTTATAACACCTTAGGATAAGCTTTTCTCAGAGTTTGAATAAGATAATACCCAAATAATTGGAACAGTCCATATTGTCTCCCTTCTTGAGGAGGGGAGAACAACCCCAGTTCTCCAGAGTAACGTCTCTTCTCCGTAGCCTGGCAGTTTGACAGACATGTGTTGTTCATTTAAAGCTTTACGTTTCTATGGCGGATTTTACAGATTCCAGCAGCCATGTAACATTTCATTGTTTTGCAGCTTCTGCAACTTCATCGACTGAAAAAGTAGTATCCTTTCGCTACCGCTCTGCAGGCGAGTTTTCCTTTGGTTGCTCTGGGCCAAAGAGTTCCTCCAATGGTACTCTCTTTATCGCCTAAGCATGTCTTCATCCTTCATGCTAGTATGTCTGGATTTGTCTTTCAGGGCTCACAGACTGCCCTTCTTTCCATCTTGAAGGCGGCTGATGATCTGACAGAATACCTTGTATGCAGAGGTGAGAATTGTCAACTTTCCTCTTCTGAGACGAAGCACTGAATAACTATATCCCTTAACAACTTGAACTGAACTAACTTTAAGAAGTGGTACTGTGAAGTGCAGTCTATCTGTTACTACTTGCCATTAGTTTTCGTAAACAACATCAATTTTAGTCCTTCTAACGTACCTGTTACTCTGGATGTCTTACATGTACTTCGGCAACAACCAAGTGTGCACCTCGTGTTGATTCCTCATTGGAGAATCGTCTATCAGGTGAGTCAAGGTCACTCGCATCAGATACCCCTACCGCAGCTCTCGCCTCTTTTGGTTTTACAACAGCAGAATATCACGCTGCCCCTCCTGTTCGCAAGTCAACGACTCGGTACCCATTTCTCTACTGGTTACGCCACAGCAAAGCAGGTTTAATTCCTTGCTCAAGGAATCAGCAATTAAGAAAACTTTTTCAAACACAGTACATCTGGAGTTCGACGCCGACCTCTTTGCATTATGCCAAGGTCTCCTAGATCACTACGCATTTTGGCAATATTGGAGACTACTGATTTAATCTCTAACCGACAGCTCAATCAACGTCGATTGAACAGGTTCAAGAATGGCAGACGTTCAATGTTATTGAGTGGTTTTGTTTCGCAAACTTGATTATTGAGATATCA